AAGCAGTGGTATCAACGCAGAGTACTACTTTCAATTAAAATCCTAATGCAGTACCTGCCTGATAAACTATCAGCGATACCACCCACGCTACAGCAAACATATACACGCCAGCGAATACCATCCATTTAATATGTCCTGCTTCTTTCTTGATAGTACCAAGAGCAGTTACGCAAGGTGTATAAAGCTGAGAGAATACCATAAATGCCAATGCAGACATAGTTGTAAAGCTTGCTGCCATACCAGTTTCCATAAGTGCTTCTGCGGTCTCGACTGCATCCTCTGCCTCTGCGGAAACATCAGCCAGACCATAGAGAACACCGATAGTAGATACAACGGACTCCTTAGCCAAGATACCAGAGATAGCAGCTGCACCAGCTTCCCAAGTACCGAAGCCATGGAAGGTAAACAATGCACCAACTACACCACCGATAGTTGCCAGGTAGCTGTCAGCCATATCCTCTACCATTCCATCAGAACCAAATGCACCTAAGAACCAGATGATTACACAGCCCAAGAAGATAACTGTACCAGCCTTTACTAAGTACCCCTTGCCCTTCTCCCAGGTTTCCAGCAATAACGGTTTTCATATCTGGGAAACGGTAAGGTGGCAGCTCCAGCAGGAAGGTTGAACCACCATCCTTAAATACAGTTGAACCTAACAGCTTAGAGGAAGCTATAGCCATGACAACGCCCACAATATACATAGCGAATACTACGTTAGCGGCATTATCTGGGAAAAACATCGCTGCGAAAAGTGCCATGATAGGAAGCTTTGCACCACAGGTCAAGAATGGAGATGCCATAATGGATAGCATACGGTCTTTCTCAGAATCCAATGCTCTAGCACCCATGATAGATGGAACGCCACAGCCGAAGCCCACAATCAGAGGCATAACACCTTTACCGGTAAGACCAACTCTGCGCATGATTGGGTCCATGATGAACGCCACACGCGCCATATAGCCAGTGCCATCAAGGAAGCTCAGACAGAAGAACAAAATGAAAATCAATGGCACAAATATTATTACAGAACCAACACCACCAATGATACCATCTAAGATAAGTGACTGCATCCAATCTGCTACTTCTGCACTTTCAAGAGCCTCAGCCACCATATCTGTAAAGTCGCCACCGATAAACTCATCAAGTGCATCTGCTATTGGCTGTCCTATCCATTCAAATGTAATCTGGAACACTGCATACATGATTGCCAGGAAAATAGGTAATGCCAAAACACCATTTGCCAAGAAACGGTCTGCCTTCTCGGAAACAGTTTCACCAGTATTGGTGATAACTACTGCCTCAGCCACGATTTCATCAATGAACGCATAACGCATCTTGATAATCTGTTCAGTCTTTTCATCTGCTGTACCACTGCCAGCCTCTACCTCTTTTATGCTCTCAATGTAGCTCTGCAAACGCTCACTTGGCTTGTACTCCTGCATGCGAGTCTTAGTAAATGTTACCTTCAAACGCTCCACACTCTGAGAGCTGCGACCTACAGCCTCAGTAACAGGATAACCCAAGATGTTTTGTAATTTCTCACGGTCAACTACCACACCACGCTTCTGTGCTTCATCCTGCATATTGAGAACAACCAGCATTGGTTATTCCCTTTTCAAACAGCTGAATAGTCAAGAACAAATTACGCTCGATATTGGAGGAATCCACAATATCCATTACCACATCAGATGGATTTTGCAATAGGTAGTCAATAACGATTTTTTCCTCTGGAGAACGTGCATTTACACTGTAAGTACCCGGCAGGTCAACCACAGTAATGCTACAGTCCTCAAGCTTAGTATAGCCAACCTTTTTATCTACAGTTACGCCTGGCCAGTTACCGATTTTCTGACGTGCTCCGGTAAGCTCATTAAATATAGTAGATTTACCAGTATTAGGATTACCAGTAAGTGCTACGGATAAATCTGACATAGTCTTCCTTCCCCCCTATCAAGCCTGACTTACTTCGATTTTACCTGCATCGGCTAATCGCATTGCTACATTGTAGCCACGAATACCAAATGCCATCGGGTCTCCCATCGGAGCAGGCCGCAAAACCTTAACCTTCGTACCTGGGATAAAACCCATAGTCATAAGTCGTTCCTTTAAATCGGAATCCGCAATCTTCTCGATACGAACAGTCATGCCTGGCTTTCCGTCTCTTAAAGTCATACTATCACCTCAAATATACATTGCACCACATAAGTGCTAAATGAAAATCTTTTTCGTTTACTACACCTTAATGATAGCACTTATCATTTAACTTGTCAAGTAAAAACTGAAAATAATTCCTAATTGTGTATAATTATCTGTTCTCATTGATTTTCATTATCAACTTATTATCATAAAAAGAAGCTGCTAAATGACAACTATTCAATGTCATCTAACAGCCTCTCTACTAACTATATTAAGTTATCATTCTGCCTTTATGCTGAAAATAATCTCGTTCTGTGCGATAACCTCGGCAACGCGGGAGAAGAACACTATACCTTTACATGGAGCTTTTAATTCTTCCAATTTCTCAGCTTCATAAGGGTCGATTATCTCGGCTAAGACCTGACCTTCCTCTACTGTATCACCTGGCTTAACCAGTTTATGAAGGAATCCTGCTTCATGGGTCAGCACCTTAACAAGTTCATTTTCATTTAACTCAATTACAGCTTCACCATCGGAAATTTCAGCTTCAGCACTGATTACACCACGCTTCTTCAGGAAACGAAGTATATCCTCTACAGACTTCTCGGCTGCGACAACATCTACCCTTGATGTAGGTCCAGAATACAGAGAGAATGCACAGGTTTCAAACACCTGCCAGTTATAATTCAGTGTAGTTGTATCAATAGGCTGTGGCTCACGAATTACATTGTATGCTACGCCAAAGTCAGCAGCGATAGAATTATCCTGAAAACCAGTCTGCATAGAGCGTACATGAGGTACGAAATCACCGCTTATATGGTAGCTGGCAAGCTGTATACCGTAATCATAGTCACGAACAGCAGTAAAGATACTATCAGCCAGACGCTGAGTGGTTTCACCAAGATTGTAGCCTGGGAACATGCGGTTTATGTCTGTATTATCAGATGGGAAGAAAACGCTCACCTACATTCATAGAGAACTGTGCCGCACTTGGGATAACCACGATACCTGCATCACCCTTTATAAGACACTGTGCCTCCATTGCTTTAAGCTTCTTTATCAGCATAGCACAAACACACATCTGCTGATACTCGTCACCACGCATAGAGCCTACTACAGCTACTGTCTTCTGCTGACCGCCGAAATAATAGCCGTATACAGGTATTTTCTGACGATATGGCAGAGCTGAGAAGGTATATATTGTTTTCTTTTCCATTATAATGCACCTCCCAGCACACGTGCGATAAGAGAACCAGAATATACTACAGGATATTCACGCAAAGTAAACAGCAAGCCACTAAGAGGACTGCGCAGCTCCTCACGTATTACACCAGTGAGAGGGTCGGCTACGTGACCTATGATCTGACCTTCCTCAACTCTATCTGAATGCTTAACAACTGGCATGAAGATACCTGACTGATTTGCATTTACATAATCTACATATCCGTCCTGACTTACGATAGGAGGAAAAACAGGCTGTGCAGGCTCATTCAGCATATCCATTTTCACCATAGTAGCCAGAATACCGCTTGTCAATCTATCACCATAATCCTTAGAAATACGCATACCAACGCCCATCTCTACCACAAGGCAAGGTGTACCAATGCTGTTCAAGCTCCATGCAAGGGTGCTCTCTAAAACAGTGGCAGCACTATGTACCCATATCAAATCCATGTTGAGATACTTAGCCATAGGAACCAGCTTATCCGCTGTTTTTTCATTTATACGAACCTGTGGAATCTCACGCAAGAATACATTGCTGGCATGAATATCTATTACCAAATCTGCCCCTGCAATATCCTCCACGATTTTATTCGCTACGTACTCATTCATTGAATTGTCGGTTGTTCCCGGAAAGATACGGTTCATATCCAAATCAAAGCCCGGCAAGCCACGCTCAATGGTGCTGACACCAAGAGGATTTAATGAAGGATAGATATCTACAACACCCTTCATCTTATGAATACGCTTCTTCAGGTAACGGCCTAACTGCCATGCAACATACTGACCCTCCAGCTCATCGCCATGAGTACCAGTCACAATACAAATACGAGGGCCTTCGCCTAAATCACCTACGATATGATTTTTCTGTATTACAAGGTCTTCACCCACTGGGAGCTTGACTCGAACTACGTCCTGTACCATGAAAATACTTCCTTTGCTATAAATTTGTGTACTGCTATTTAAACACAAAAATATTTTATCATACTAAAATATCAAACGCAACGAAAGCCATACTATAAAAAAACGAACATTACCACTAATTTATGGAACACACAGCAAAATAAAATCCGTCACCAAAAATGATGACGGAAAATTACAGTATAAATTTTACTAAAACTTAGAACCACAGGAAATCCATCCAAATTTTAGACTGCTTCGCCCAACTGGCCTCACCATGCTGTCCACCTTCCTGACAGTAGATGTATGTCCTGCCGCCCTGCTGCTGTATATCCTTTTCCAAATCAAAAACTCGCTGTGCCTCTAAGCAGTCATAGCCGCCCCATTCCTCAGTACCCCAGCTGAAATACACACGAGTATCAGGGTCAATCTTATGCTCTGCCAACTCTTTTTTATACTTATAATATGCAGAAGAAATAGCAGGAGAAATCACTGCTGCCTTAGAGAAATACTGATTGTGATGAATAACCGCATACAGTGCCATCATGCCACCCATACTTGAACCAGATACAGCAGTACACTCACGGAAAGGCATTGTACGATAGCTGGTATCAATATGCTCCTTCAGCTCACCAACCACCCATTCCATTATTTTATCACCATAGCCCTTAATATCGCCGAACCAGTACATATTGATATTAAAAGGACAATATTCGGAAATACGTGTATTACCCTCACGAAAGCAGTGGTATCAACGCAGAGTACTTTTTTATTGTAGCTGTCCATAAATTCCTTCATGCCCTGACAGGTGCCAAAGGTAGCATCCTCATCAAAGAAAAGATTATGTCCATCAAACATATATACTACTGGATAACGCTCATCTGTTTCATAATAATCATCAGGAAGATACACATGAAGCCGTCTGTTTGCTTTTGCAGGCGTGCAATAAAAATCATACTTATTTACCATGCCAATCACCTCATAACACACTAAAAATCAATTAAAACCGCTCGTAATCACTAACTATATTCTAACAATAAATTTTGTTTATGTCAAACAAATAATTAATTTTTGAAAAAATTTGCAGATAGTTGACGATGTGTATAGATTTTTCTGAAATTATGTGATACAATGAATATAACCTATAAAAATAGTCTGAAAATTAGTTGATTTTTGTTACTTTGTTATTTAGATTTGGAGGAATTGATTTGAAACGTACAGTCCTTGCACTTTTGTCTGCAACACTACTGCCGCTTTCATTAAATATGCCTACTGCCGAGGCTTATCACATGCACGATTATAAGCTTGGCAACGTAGAAGTTTACGGTGGCTTCAATGTCACACCATACAACACCTTAGGTGTTCCTGATAAGCATGTACAGTATTCTGGCGGTGAGAAACATCTGGAATACTATGGTGCTATGGTGGGATTAGGTGGAAATTGGGCCTTTGAATATCGCTATGCCAATAATAATTTAGATAGTCATTTGCATTTTTCTGATGTTGGCTATACAGTTCCCCCAGCAATGGACAGACAGGATTTTACAGGAGAGGTTTCTACTCAGGAATATCGTCTTCGCTACAAAGTCAACAGATATCTGACAGTTCACATTGAGGATTATCATGTTGATGGTAAGGCTACTTTAGGAGCTTTAGGCAGCATATCTGCCAAGCATGACCGCATACTTGTTGGTGCACAGTACGGGCGTACCTTTGACAAAAGAGCTAAATCTGCATGGTGGGTTGGCGTAGGTTTAGGTGACAGACTACAACATGCTGAGATTGGTGTCACTTATGGTATAAATGCTCATCTCAATTTAGATGTTTCTTATCAGTACACTAACGTAGACAGAATTGCTAATATACATGGTATGAACATGGCGGTTGCCAGTCAGGGTATCTACACAGGTCTTTCCTACAGATTTTAATATGTAAGTTACTATATGAAAATAAGAGGAATCTCGGCTTTTTGTCGAAATTCCTCTCTTTTATTGCAGATTTTACATAAAAAGTAAGCACAGCTATCAATAACCATGCTTACCATATTTTAAATTATGCTTTTTTCTTCTGCAAATACTCGTCAATAGCAGCCGCAGCTTTTTTACCTGCTCCCATCGCCAAGATTACAGTTGCCGCACCTGTTACGATATCGCCACCAGCAAATACGCCTTCCTTAGTAGTAGCACCAGTTTCCTCATCAGCCACGATATTACCACGCTTATTGGTTTCCATGCCTGGAGTTGTAGATGCAACGATTGGGTTTGGACCATTACCGATAGCCATAATTACAGTATCGACTTCAAGCTCAAATTCGGAATCTGGAATTTCTACAGGACGGCGGCGGCCTGATGCATCTGGCTCACCTAATTCCATCCTGATGCACTTTAAGCCCTTAACCCAGCCATTTTCACCTAAAATCTCCACAGGATTATTCAAAAGCTGGAAGTCAATTCCTTCTTCCTTAGCATGATGAACCTCTTCCTTACGGGCTGGAAGCTCTGCCTCAGAACGGCGATACACGATATATACATGGTCAGCGCCAAGTCTAAGGGAAGTACGAGCTGCATCCATGGCTACATTACCGCCACCAACTACCGCCACCTTTTTACCTACTCGGATAGGTGTTGCATAGTTAGGGAAGTCATAAGCCTTCATAAGATTACAACGGGTCAGGAACTCATTGGAGGAATACACACCATTGAGGTTCTCACCAGGAATGTGCATAAAGTGTGGCAGACCAGCACCAGTGCCGACAAATACAGCGTCAAAGCCCATTTCTTCCATAAGCTCATCAACAGTATACAGCTGACCTACAACAGAGTTAAGTTCGATGGTAACACCCATCTTCTGTAAATTCTCTACCTCACGCTTTACAATCTTATCCTTTGGCAGACGGAATTCTGGAATACCGTAGGAAAGAACACCGCCAGCAACATGAAGGGCCTCATAGACAGTTACTTTGTAACCCTTCTTTGCCAGATCACCTGCACAGGTCAGACCAGCAGGACCAGCACCGATGATAGCTACCTTCTGAGCATCCTCGGCAAATTCGATTGGCTGTGGTTCTTCGTTCTTCGCCAGCTGATAATCTGCAACGAAACGCTCCAAACGGCCGATAGCCACAGATTCACCCTTTTTCGCCAAAATACAATGCTTCTCACACTGATTTTCCTGTGGACATACACGACCGCAGACAGCAGGCAGGGAGCTGGATTCCTTAATAATGCCAATAGCAGAATCGAAATCTCTTTCCTTTATCTTACCGATAAATTCAGGAATATTTATCTGAACTGGACAGCCCTTGCGACACTGGGGAACCTTACAATGAAGACAACGCTCCGCCTCGGCTACAGCAGTTTCTTCATCATATCCAAGAGCAACCTCCTGAAAGTTATGCGCTCTTACCTTTGGGTCCTGCTCAGGCATTTTATGCTTTTCCATTACAAGTGCCATGTCTATTACCTCCCCAGTCCGATGTTGCAGATATGATCCTTTGCTTCGGCTTCCTGTTCACGATACATACGGCTGCGAGACATGAAGCTGTCAAAGTCCACAAGATGACCGTCAAACTCAGGACCATCTACACAGGCAAACTTCATCTCATCGCCCACCTGCACACGACAGCCGCCGCACATACCAGTACCATCTACCATGACAGGGTTAAGGCTGACAATAGTCTTGATACCAAGTGGGCGAGTAGCCTCTACCACACTGCGCATCATAACGCCAGGACCGATAGCAGTTACCTGATCAATCTTTTCACCGCGGTCGACGAGAGTCTGGAGAGCTGTAGTTACAAAGCCCTTCACACCATAGGAGCCATCATCTGTTGCGATAATAGTTTCATCAGAAATGGCACGCATTTTATCCTCAAAAATGAGAATGTCCTTAGTCTTCGCACCCATTATGGAAATAACCTTATTGCCAGCTTCATGCATAGCCCTTGCAATAGGATAAACAGGTGCAACGCCGATACCGCCGCCA